AAAAAAACTGACATTGCGATATGAAAACATACAGGAATTGAAGAAAAGACAGGTTCTTTTGTCCGCAAACCTTCCTTTCTTGAACTTTAATGCTATACAATTGGTAGTTTTCTAACTATCTTTAACCGAATGAAGGATTTTAGTCACGGACGTCTGGATCTTAAGTTATCAGAGCTAGCTCGGTTAGCAGCGCCGAAATGCCTTGGAGAAACAAATGAAACAACTTTATTCAGTGTTTTTACCTTTAATCACCGGGTTAGTTTGCTTTGGAGAGATTGTGATTGGTTGTTTGCTGTCACTCACTCAAGTACCCCTGACATGAGAGCCGCACGAGTTTTCCTTATGTAGCAAGCAGCAAAAGAATTGTAACATGACGTGTTTAAGTTAATTTGCCTACTTAATATCGCACGTCCTAAAAACAATATGCGATCGCGATTATCGTCACGACACGATATATCGTGCCGCCCTAGACTCTAGTATTGGTTTTACAGAGTTAGAATTCAATCAGTAGCTCTACTCATACATTAACCAATTCTGACTTTGATTTTTAGGGACCGAAAAATTGTAATTGATTTAACGAGAGACTTCTCATTGATTTAAAACATCAATGTTCCCTTTAACATATTTTCTGCAGGGCCTTGAGATAAACAGAAACAAACAGTGCCACAACTTTCTATTTTCTATATATTCTATCCGTTAATCATTAAATTATCATTGTGGTTTATTATTCTGTGAGCGTTTTTCTTAATACTAAAGGTTATTTGAGTATACCAACAAATCCTCATCCTCTTCTTACATCTGTAATACTCATCAGTTAAATGTCAGAAGCTGCCACAGGGAGCAGTGAAGACTATATCTTGGGAACAGAATAAACTGAGTTGTTTTATTTGTGTTTCCTCTCTCAGCTGCGCTCCTACAACAGACACACTCTGGTGGCTGATCCGTTCGAGGATGGCATCGATGACTTACTCATCAAAAAGCAGAAGATGATCGAGCTGGAGAAGAAGGTATGATGATTATTATTATTATAAATATGATGTTATCAGTCTCTGTGAGGGTAATGGCTCAAATCACAATCAGTCTGAGGCACCAACCTGCTGTGTCAAATGTTATTGACACACACACAGCTAAAGGTAAAACACATTCTGTTGATTAGCCAACGCCAAAGGAGACTATCTGTAATAAGATAGGTGTGGTACACAGAGACTGTTTTTTAATTTGGTGAATAACAGAAGATGTTATGATGCAGGAAGAAAAGTCAAACGCATCCAAATCGGAGGAAGAGCAGCTCTTCTCCTTCTGTACCGGCAGCAGTTACATGATTCAACCCAAAACTATGATTTATATTCCAATTAAAGTCCACCTTCAGTCTCCGTAATTCATTTCCTCGACACAAATGGGGGCTGATGTATTCACGCAGTTGGGCGTCTCCAACACAAACTTCTGTTCCATCAGCCTGTAATTACATAATGAAAACCGACTCTCGTTTTTGGTAAATGAAATGTGCTAGAAGCCAGTGCAGACTCGAGAGGATTCCTGCAGAGAAAGCAACAAATAGTTTTAATGAAGTGCCTCTAAGATGTTGATTAATGATGAATCTCTGAAACGCGTTAGTTGGGCTGCTGTGAAAATAACTTGTGTGTTTAGGAGGCGTGTGGCGTGTGGTGTAGTGGGTTGTGCGTTGGTGTTCGGATCAGGGAGTCACAGGTTCAAACCCCGCTGCAGTCAGCATGTCGTTGTGTCCCTGGGCAAGACACTTCACCTCAAATTGCTCCTGTGGGGATTGTCCACAGTATTGAATGTGTGTAAGTCGCTTTGGATAAAAGCGTCTAACAAGTGACATGTAATGTAATGTTTATTTTAAAACATAAACTTATATTTTCCCTGTGTTTTCCCAGATTAAAGACATGAATAACTACCTGACGGTGCCTGCTGCCCCCCCCGACTCCCCCACCATGTGTAGAGCCAGGTTGTCCTCAGGTAAACTCATCCGTCTTAGCTGCAGCCAAACACAAACACTCAGCAGAATGTTTTCCATGTCACTGACGACACCCAAAGCAATGTTATATTTTGTCGGGCTCACAACCTTTACAAACCAATAAACACTGCAGGAAGCACCGCGACTGTTCACTGCTGCAGAAATAGATATTCACCCCCTGATGGAAATATGTTTGCACGAGGCTGCTAGCATGTAAACCAGTGTGTGGTTTCATTTTAGGCAAAGATACTGATTTCAAACCTGCTCAGCAGCAAAACGGAAACAAAACCGGGCCAGGTATGTAGTGAGTGTAGAGAAGATTCATTTTGACTTGATAACCCAAAAGCAGTCCTAACATGCATGTGTCAATCATGTTGCTTGGTAACATTCATTAATTATTCATCACTAACAAAAGCGATCTCATGACATGGCCAAATATGGATGATTCATTATAGCTGAGAAACAAACCCTGCTGTTTAGATTAGAGTCAAGCATGATGTGTTATAGAATGTCAGCTTCCCATTTAGTAAGGGAAATATATGAAAATCTGCAAACTAAATCCTTACCAATCAATTTCTTCACTAATGTGTTTGTAAAGGTGTGTAGTAAGATGTATTAAAAAGTTGAAGTTCAAATCCTGTATGTTTTTTCGTAACAACTGCTCAAAGTTGAGGTACCGAATACCGATTTTCGAAAAATCTAAAATTTGCTGTTTGGCCTTGGGTAACTTGTGAGGGGTCAAACTAGGGGTTTTTCATGATTCTGAGTTGATTGCAATCATGTATTTTTCACTAAAATCATTCCTTGGTTGAAAAAAGGCCACACCCACTATTATATTTAAATTCAAAAGTAGCTTTATTTGTAGTTACAAGTAGTTACAAGTGCTGATCACTTCAGGAGTCAATCTCTGAGTCTTCTCCAGACTCACCACCATCATGACCACAATTCTTGCATGAAATTCCTCCACATGCTGAGATGCACTTAACGCCATTCCTCTTGCAGCTGCACCGGTTGCTGCAATATCCGTTACAGTTGCAGCTTGTGAACTGCAGTAGCTCCTCAGGAGCCATGGGGTCTAGTGTTGGGACTGGCTCATAGCCATGTACACCTAATGTCCATCCATAGTCACTAGGGTTCAGAGACATACTCTGCAGAAGGATCCAGTCCTGGGTTTGTAGGTAGGCACGGAGAGAATGCTGTGCAGCTGCACCCTCTGTTGGAGGTAGAGTTTCTGGTTTGATCAGCCCTGCCGCTGCCTTCCGTGAGAACATGTTGTGTCGAATTTCACCCAAAGCAGTACCTGGTGCATGGTAAATGTACTGGAAGATGGTAGTACCAGCCTGTATCACTGCATCCTTAGTAGCTTGTGTGTCAAGGAAGATGTCCATGTGTTCATCAATGTCCCCTGCACAGAACCTGCAAAAAAAATGCACTTTGAGATTTGTTTCAAATATAAAGTGAAATAGAATTATATATAAATTATTATTACCTGTCAAATAAGGTTGTTTTCCCATGGCCAGCTATTGCAGAAACCGTATCACAACCAGTGAAGGCGTGACAAAAGAGCAGGTAGCATCTCTCTCTTTCAGAGAGAGCTTC